AGAAACTACAAGTTGTCTACTGTGATGATTCATATAATAAAATTCAGGATTGGTCTTATATTTGGCATCACACACTTTCATGATCAGATAACAAATTATGTACAACAGATGATACACATTTCAGCATCACTTATCTACTTCCATCGTGTTCAAGTGTAACCGATTTCAGGACGTGCGAACTTATGCGCAAAGAAATTATTCTACTAGTTAGCCAGGTTATAATTCATCTAATTAGACATAATGTTGTCGAGTTTACTAGCTATATGTTTTAAATAAGTTGTGAAATGTAAATAACACATAGGGAATTGACTGAAACAAAGAGATGACGTTACATAAAGAATAAACTTGACCGTGTTCTATTGAAAAATAAGACGATATTTTAAATTAAAGACGCGAATTATTACAAATGTTACTGGAGAAAATCAAAACAATGAATCAAATACAAATATTTATTGCAAAACATTTTGTAAGTGATACAAAAAATCACAATTCAATATTGAAACAGAAATCAACGTCTTTTTTCTCGTGAAGTAACAGAACTACCGGTTGTAGTAACCGGTGGGTTAGTTGGAAATACTAGAGCTGTGTTTGAGTCAATTGAGCGAACAGATTTCTTTTTCGTTTTTGAATAGAAGAATTTGAAAAATAAATTGCACAGAAACACCTATTACAGCTAAATGCAGTGTTAACCATAGGTATTAGAATCATTCTCAAAATAAATAGGTCTAGTAATTAATCATGTTTATTATGCTTCTAGTTCGATACAAAGACGGGAATATACTTATTTTATCAACGGGAAGTTATTTTTCAGGCCATAACTTCGGGTCAGATAATGCACAGCATTTTAAAAGAAGGCTCTGTAAATAAAGGTGTAATAGTCTAAACAAAGGTTCAATAATCTTTAGAAGGGAAAACAATTTCTTCACTGTTTTCGCATCTGTGAATAACAACGCAACGGCAGTTTCGAATTGTTCACACTTAGAGCCATAAAGATATGTGTACGAAAATAGCGAAAACTATTTGTACAGTGAGAGGGTGAACTATAGTATCAACTATAGTAATAGCCCCAGTTGCCTTGGTACGGTCGAGGGTGGGGGAGTCAGCTATCTCTCTTGAAGAAGAGTTGGTCACTGGGTGACATGGGACTAATCCTTACGATACTCCACTGCCTTGTGGATCAGGCCTTTGGGTCGAAGGCTCCGGGTGTGGGCCCCTAAGAAAACCACCTGCTTCGGTTTGGGCACCCAGGCATATGTATCTGATGCCCCTTGTACCAGCATTTATGTGTTCAAATAAATAAATAAAATAGATCCCACCAGATATAACAAGGCTCGAAAACTACATTCAGACTGTAAGCTCATGTTTAAAAGGTGACTCGGATATCCTGGAAAAAATTAAAGAGGGCTGATACCCGTGCAGTTTCAGAATTTCGGGGTCTACCATACAAAGGGCGGCTTAAAAAGCTAGATCTCTTTACTCTGGCCTATCGCAGGTTAAGAGGTGATGTATAGAATACTAAGAAATGATTTTGGACCAAATACATTCCCTCTTTTTTCCCACTAGATTGAGACATCTCAGAGGACATAAAAGGCGAGTAGAAAATCCAAGAACGAACAAAATACCCAAGGCATATATGTGCCTTGGATATATATACAGGTATTCACACATAGACATCGAACCTTGGAACATGTTACTCGAAGCATTGGTGTTCGCCCCCTCAATTGACACATTCAAGAGAAGACTAGATACTCACAGAATCACACTAGGAAAAGAATAACAGGCCATCGGTCTCCTGTCCTTAGCACACAAATCCGAATGTCTGACGGACGACCTTGGAATGACCTTGTGTGACCTTGAGAATACCCATTTATCAGGGTCAAATTAGGGTAGTATATTAGTGCAAGGAACTATGATAAATGTTTTAAATTGAACGTTAAGGTTGAAAATTGCATCCAGGGTCTTCATTACGAACTGATGTCGGCCATCATACTGTTTCGTCAATCGGATGAGCTTCGCGCCAAAACCAAAAACTGTTATGAATCTGAATGTTCCGTCCATAAAGTTGTAATCTCACCGTTGCTTTATTTTGGCGTCTATTTAGTTCTTGTGAAAAACCAGGGAGATATCACAGGATCCTATCCAGGTCTCTCATCTTTTGGGTCACTGAATGTCGAACGTCTACCGACCATCCTCAATCCCAAGGACAACAAACGCGCATCAATTAGTTGCAAGTCATGGACTGGCCCATGAGACAGTAGTCAAACTCTGTTCTTCTGCCTATTCTTACAGATACATTCTCGTCATAACGTAATGTCTTAGCCAAACAGTCACCGAAGTAACCTTAGTGCATGGATACAGCGAAAGAGTAACCCATGTTAACTTCTTGATGTGACTTCGATGTAAGCTGGGAGGCCACGCCATCCTCGTACAACTCGAGCAGATGCCACGATCAATAAAATAATCGCCTTTTGACTTAGGCGGAATTACCTATTGATCCAAATAAAGGAGATGCAAGGGGCAAATGAAGCAAAATAAATCCATGAGAAGTCTGATCCATTTACCTCTAACGTCAAGCGGCAACTGGTGACACTGGATCTTGACAACATTCTTACTGCAGCCCACTTTGTTTTCAGGATCCCTGACTTACTAAACGTTTGGTGATAAGTAATAAATAACTTATAAATGCAACCACAAATTGATTTCCGTAAAATATACAATTTCGATCAACTTCATAATTTGCTCCTGCTACGACTACTGCCGGAAGAAGTTAGACTAATATAGTTCAGGGAATCCAAAAGACGATTTTGGTATTTTACGGCTCATTCATCGTTAATTTTTACATAGTTAGATTGTAAGATCCATTTTGAATGCTTTGTGTGTTTGTGAAAATCCCTCCATGTATATACCTGCACCTTGTTCCTATTGATCCTCTTAGTTGTACATTGTTAACTTTTTGACTACATTTGAATTGTTAATATTTGTATTTTATTATAGTTTTCGTTTTTACCACACCTTCACTAATTCCCCATGTTTCTTCCCGAACTGCACTTATGTTGTTTTACTTTATACTAAGTCTGGGCGGCAGCCATTTTGGTTTGTTCCTGCTTTTGGTTGCTTGACCTGTGTTGGCTGGGATTGTGCATTTTGGTTGTGAATTGAAGCACTCTTCCAGAATTGAAAACATTCTGTGTTATAGAGCGACCAATTATTACCTTTTGAACGAATCTGTACGTGATCTATCCAGACAGGATAGAATAACATTTGTTTGTGGTGATTGGTAATTTTCTTGCATCCTTCATCAACTGTCTTATTTATTGTAGTTTAGATTTGATCAATTGAACAATTATTGGTTGGATAGCTGAGTGGTTATATTTGTTTAGGTAATAATGTACACTTAAATTTATGATAAATTGCAGAACCGCTATCTTACCCAACTACTTTGTTTTGATTTCAAACGGGCCAGGGCGCGTATCTAACTCATCCAGGCAGCTGTCCAGCAGTCCAAACGTAGTTTGGATCTTATAGTTCTAAACAAATAATTTGGTCGAATTCGTTTGGTTTTCGTTTTGCTGATTTCAATCATTGTCTCTGGAAATATTTGGTCGTTCGCTTGCGATGCCAAACAACCGTCGAAGGAAATTAAGTCCAAGGCTCGTGGGAGCTAAAAGAGATGAACAAAAGGATGGATCCCCTCAATCAAGGCATGTGCCTTATGATGCTTCTATGTGTCATGGTTCATATTCTAATAGGGACGATTGTAATTATAGTGATATAATGGCAGATGGCACAGAAAACCTTAGTTTAGACGTAAGGCAAGCGAGAAGCGCGATGCCTACGGTGCCTTTCGTAGGTCCATAGTTACCGAAGGTTGAGTTAAGTTATTTCGACGGTCAACCTAAAGGTTATTGGAAATTTCTAAGGGAGTTTGAGACCTATGTAGAATCAAGGGTCAAGGATGATGGTCAACGCTTGCTTTATTTGATACATTATTGTAGGGGTAAAGCGAAAACAGCCATTGTGGGCTGTGTTATGTTGTAAGCCTCTTTTGGTTACAAGATGGCCAAAGAAATTCTAAAACGGTTGTTCGGACAGGGGCACGTAATCGCTCGAGAAACATTAGAAGACTTATTCAATGTTGTGAATTTTCATTATGCTGACTAGGAGAGGTATTCTATCTATAGTTTCTTCTCTGTTCGATCCTCCGGGTCTAATTGCTCCAGTCTGTCTTACTGCCAAACTCCTCTTGCGAAAATTATGTAAGTCCCAAATAGGCTGGGATCAGCCTCTCAACGAGCCATACATGTCCGCGTGGCTAAGCTGGGTAAGTTTTATGCGTCAGATAGGTCACGTCACGGTAGCTCGAGGTATCAAGAGGAGAATCGACGAACCCGACGCGAAAGTGGAATTGCACTTGTTCAGTGATGCTTCAGAGGTTGGTTATGGAGCAGTTGCGTACGCACGAGTCAGCTATTTGAAGGAACCACCATATTGTATCTTGTTGTACAGCAAGTCTAGGGTAGCACCTATCAGACAAGTCACTACACCGAGACTTGAGATGGCGGCAGCGGTGTTAAGTGTGAGGCTTAGTGAAGTATTACGGAGAAGTCTGCCTAATTTTTTCTGCAAAGTAAACTTCCATACAGATTCCATGATAGTGTTATACTACATTAAGAATATCGAGAACCGATATAGCACCTATATAGCCAACCGCCTCGCTGTGGTGCACCAGTATACGAAGGTTGAACAATGGAATTATGTAAAGTCGTCACAGAATCCAGCTGATTGGACTCAAGAGGTATACAAAAAATGACTGATCTTGAATCTTGGTTCAAATGTCCTACCTTACTGCATGGCGAATTTTGTACAACAATCACTGACTGTCCGGAACCTACTCCTGACGATATTGAGTTTAGAAAAACTGCTGTGGTTAACTTGAGTAGTATAAAGTACAACATGTCACCTATTCTCTCTTATTATTCCGAGTGGTTGAAATTAGTCAGGGCCGTAGCCTGGCTTAGAAGGTTCATAGAATTCCTGATGGTACTTCGTTCACCGAGTCATGAAGGATCCGTTCATCTAGGATGTTTAAAGGTCAAAGAGCTTGACATCGCCAAGCGTAAAATTTTATTGATGGTTCAGAAAGAAGTGTATGGAGAAATACTTAGTGGATTTAAAAACAATGGTAAAGTAGTTAGTCACAATGATCTGAAGGGCTTATCACCGATAATGCTTGATGGGTTACTCTGCGTTGGAGGTCGACTAAGCTACTCAGATTTCTCAAATGCCTTTAAACATCCAATAATATTGCCCAGTCGACACTTAGTGACAGAAATGATAATTAGACATTATCATAAGGAACAAGGGCACACAGGAACGTCACAAGTACTGGCCACGATTCGAAAAAGGTATTGGATAATAAAAGGAACCAGCACGGTTAAGAGAGTGATAGGAAAGTGTGTGACATGCCGGCGGTTTACGATGGTTACAGGGCAACAATTGATGGCACCACTTCCAGCTTGTAGAGTTCAACAAGGATGGTATAGCTTCTCAGCCGTGGGAGTAGACTACTTTGGACCCTTTTTTTCAAAAGAGGAAGATCATTAGAAAAAAGATATGGATGTGTATTTACTTGCTTGCAAACCCGAGCAGTACATATTGAAATGACACATAGTTTGAATACTGATTCGTTTATAATGGCCTTGTTACGTTTTATTGGAAGAAGAGGGAAACCTGCCGAAATTTACAGTGACAATGGGTCAAATTTCGTGGGTGCGGTCTCTGAATTAAGGAGATTTGTGCAACAGTTGAATCAACAGAAAATAGACAAAGAACTGTCAGCTAGGCAGATTCAGTGGCATTTTAACCCGCCCTCATCCAGCCACAGGGGTGGAGTTTGGGAAAGGATGATTAGGTCCATACGCCGACTGTTATTATTGATAACTAGAGAGCAGACTCTAACCGATGAGACTTTAAGCACTTATTTGATTGAGATTGAAAGGATATTGAACGATCGACCCTTAACTCCGGTCGTTCAAGATGCTAACGATAAACTAGCCTTGTCGCCAAATAGTTTGTTATTATTGAGAGAATGTGACGGAATAGTCGAAGAAGGTAGCATCAGAGATAAATATGACAAACGTTGGAAACAGGTTAATCATCTTGCTAATGTGTTTTGGAAAAGGTGGTTAAGAGAGTATTTACCGTCCCTACAAAAACGTCAAAAGTGGTTAGTTGAACACCGCAATTTTCAGAAAGGGGATGTAGTGATCGTGGCTTCGGACATATCGACCCGTGGAAAATGGCCCTTAGGAGTAGTTGAAGATTGTGAAATAGATGACGACGGAAGAGTTAGAACAGTGGTTGTTCGTACGAACGGTGGATTAGTCAGGAGAGATATACGTAGATTATGCCTCCTTGAAGGCTCGAATTAGTTCCTCGTATTATCAATGTAGGTAGGTCGAGTAGGCGTACTGTTGTAAGTCCTACTCGTTCCTATAGTGTCATATGCTACATAATGAACCATGACCATAGGCATCAAGGTAGCTTGTGTGATGTGGAGGGATTTTGGGGGCCGGTGTAAGATCCATTTTGAATGCTTTGTGTGTTTGTGAAAATCCCTCCATGTATATACCTGCACCTTGTTCCTATTGATCCTCTTAGTTGTACATTGTTAACTTTTTGACTACATTTGAATTGTTAATATTTGTATTTTATTATAGTTTTCGTTTTTACCACACCTTCACTAATTCCCCATGTTTCTTCCCGAACTGCACTTATGTTGTTTTACTTTGTACTAAGTCTGGGCGGCAGCCATTTTGGTTTGTTCCTGCTTTTGATTGCTTGACCTGTGTTGGCTGGGATTGTGCATTTTGGTTGTGAATTGAAGCACTCTTCCAGAATTGAAAACATTCTGTGTTATAGAGCGACCAATTATTACCTTTTGAACGAATCTGTACGTGATCTATCCAGACAGGATAGAATAACATTTGTTTGTGGTGATTGGTAATTTTCTTGCATCCTTCATCAACTGTCTTATTTATTGTAGTTTAGATTTGATCAATTGAACAATTATTGGTTGGATAGCTGAGTGGTTATATTTGTTTAGGTAATAATGTACACTTAAATTTATGATAAATTGCAGAACCGCTATCTTACCCAACTACTTTGTTTTGATTTCAAACGGGCCAGGGCGCGTATCTAACTCATCCAGGCAGCTGTCCAGCAGTCCAAACGTAGTTTGGATCTTATAAGATTACCAGCCTAAAGTCATTACAACATTTATACTCTTCAGTCACAGGCTATGGCTAGCAGAGCAGAAAAAGAAACAATGTAGATAGCATTTACGAGCTCATCAAAAGTAACAGCTACTTCAATCAATTGCAAGTTAAGCCTTCTTAATATTGATGAGATCAAATGGCAGATATTGGTTGTAAATGTTGTAGCGTTAGATAAATCCACAAAACAAAGACTGTCTGTTAAGAATCCTCACCAGATCTCGAATGTGTGCTCCCTGTTACGCATCTCTTGCCACCGTAAGCCAACTTGGACCGAATGCTCCTCGACTCATCGATAGCTTTCCAAATACACATTCGAACTTCTTTATTTCTAACTTTTGATTCGACTGGGTTGGTGTGATTTGATTTTAAAAGTTTTAAATGTAAACGACTTACCAAACTCCGAATACCTATGCTACCTTTGTTGTGATTACTTTTAGAATGTCATACAAAAAAAGCGATAGTGTAACTTACTGCAGTTATACGAGTTATTGGGTCTGCGTTTCACCAAATATTCCTAACACACAGAAGAACATATTACTTTCTCATGCTTATCATTCCAAATTTCACAAAAACATTTGAGTTTATCACATTATGGCAACTTGTAGACTAGTTCCTGTAGGTGAGAACAGTATCATTTAACAGGCTCAACCAAAGCCACAAGTGAATATAACATTAAGTTAACCCTAAAGAAAACTCAAATCATTCGAGACCCTGTGTAACATTCATTAGCACTGCTAACATGGGGGGATGTGCTGATAGTAACTTAATGAAGTCTGGAGGGAATGTGAGGATAGCTCCTGATTCAACAAATTCAGACGGTAAACTTGTAGTGACTCACATTCATCACGAGAACACGACTGGTCTAATAGAAACAATTATTATTATAACCAACTGTACCAGTGTTTGTTTTAATGTGCTTTTGTTTGACTGTGCTAATGACAGCTAAATTGTGCTTCCATTCTTATACACACACTTTGATTGTGATTTCGCGCAAATTCGGTTACGTTCTGTAACCAAGCTTGTATCCTGGCACGATCTCGGTATCCTTTTGATACCACGAGATCGCCAGCAAATATATTTCGACTTGGTCCATTGATTGCCTTCTGATATTTGGCTTCCGGGGGATTTTATGGAGTCATTTGGCACGTGCTTTCTTGGTAGCGGTGTTCATAGTTAATCTCGACTCGACGCCACGCTACAACTCATCATGAACATACTGAAGGAAAACGCGGAACGTTCTTTCACAGAAGGGACTAGACGTTCATAAAGCAGTAACTGAAGCATACATTAACTCAACAAGTGGACCATCGACGCCGGTCACCAACCGCGGTCCACATGCATACGGACTGTACAAAAGCATATTGGAACTGACTATTCTAATTTACACTGTCATGAACAAGAAAAGTACGTGGAAGAGACAGGGACAACCCACACAAGTAGCTCTGTATACCAAGGTCGCCTGTTCATAAACATGAGACACATTCAGACACATGGGACAAGGGCTTTCACGCGTTTTATATTGGAAGTACTAACCACTTATACACAAGCATTGAGAGTTTACTGAACAACATCGACGAGTTTCGAGAATCAAGTAACGCTGGGAGCACCCATTTGAAATATGGTCATCCCAAATCCCAGAGGGCGAGCTGGCAATACTCGTCATATCCTTGTTTCTTAACGACAAAAACACTAAGAACAGGATGGATGGGATTCCTGTACCTGCTATCGTGCTTGGTGGCATGTCAAGCGTACACCTAAATGCTTATCAATTTCGATGAATCTTTATGGTGCACGGCAAGACTCTCTGACACCTCAAGATGTTAAGTTCGAGTTATCTACAGAAAAATAACTGATGCTAACGAGTACGACAAAATAATGCTAGGGGGATTATCCGGTATCATTCGTCTCGGAGACTCTAATATCCTAATATATATATACTTCAATCTTCCTTAAGCCAACTTCGCTGAACACATATGTGAAGTGGGAGACAAGTCTGCCGCATCTCTAATCTTCAAGCTCATGGAAGAATTAAGCATATTAGAACTTGCGCAGTAAAGGACCCGACGGAAAAACGGCCAGACACCACCAAGCTAAGGTTGCCTATTTAAAAACGATGAATTCCTGATTGACAAACGTTCAGTCCTGGCTCTCCAAGAAAGAGGTTACCCCACCACCACAGACTTCAGCTTTATTGACAAAACTGAACGAAGACATTCTACAAACAACAGACATTAGAACTTCAAACGTTCGAAAGTTTTAGCTTTATAGGGCAATCTACGGTAAATGGGCCGAGAAGCCCGCCCTCAACTAGACATTGCCGTCCACTGGTATTCTTACTAAACAATGTATTACGCTGTACAAACCAGTCTGATCCAAAATGGTCCCAAAATGTTACTAGCAGCTTGGATTCATGCTCAGCTTTAAAAAGTAGTGATAACCGGGTTATGAACGAACTAGAGACGTTGACACATATAGGCAGTTCAAAGGAGCATAGAATTAATACACAGAGGCGTTGACAGAAGGTAGGCTCCAGCATTATACCAAGCTAACCAACAAATATGTCAAAAGACTAAATAAAATAGAGCACCACTCACAACCTAGAGGAGTTTCAGAAGTAAAAGTGACGGTGCAACAGATACTCGAACTCTTCAAGAATAAGACTGTAATGCCCCCACTTTGGCTGATAATACCGAAGCCTGATTTTGTTACAGAGGAGATGACGTCCCAGAGCACGGCGCGACAGGCTGACGTGTGCAACTCCTCTCAGTGGTGAAGGCACGGCTGCAAGATTTCAACAAGCACATTACACCTCATTTTGAAAAAATCCTTAACTAACTGATCGAAAAAGGTCAGACTGAATCTTCCACAGCACATAATTTCGATACAGTTCAACGATAGAAATGACGCTAAGTATATGGAAGATCGTTGGTCGCCGAACTATCGGAGAATGCCACTTCAGCAACTTTTTTATCCAAGCTTCTCCAAACAGAAGCAAGCGGTACGCGTCTCGTTCCAAATTTGAAACATTGTTTGAAAAACGCGGTAGAAAAGCCAGGTTTATCTAATGGTTGGGTTTGGAAATCACTGGAATCCACAGGATAGAAATTTTCGCACTTTGCATATTGACATTGGGGTTTCATGTGGGCCTACGATGTTTACGGATCTAGGAACAAACACGAATGGTATGTTCCAATACAATCATTTCCCTTTTAAATCAGCAGCAACTATTTACATACAATTTTCTCTCCGAAAATGGATTGTGTCAACCATTGAGTACCAATATATTTAGTAATGACTTATACAAACAAGGTCCGTCATCTCTCTAATTGACCGAAAAGTAAAATGTAACCGGTGAAACTTTTCTCGACAGTAGTTCCCTAAAACGTGAGGGCATTTTTATTTTCCTCGTTGAATATACCTTGTTTCAAACATGCTATCATCAGTTATCCACAGCTACTAGATAATTGAGCCATTTAAGCAATATATTTTACAACGATTTAAACCATCTACAAACACATTCATAAGGTAGATTATATATATTCAGTGTGGGTAGAAATGTTTTTTTCGAGGTCGTCTATAAAAGTGATTGGATCTGAATGCAATGAATTCAGGACTGATACTTACTTTAAATGATCTGTATAGGTCAGATTGAAACATTGTATACTAGTCACAAATTTGAGCTCAAGGTATATTCGCATGACTCGGAAAGGTACTGCAAAGCTAGATGAGCTTCGCAAGATCGAGGGTCAGGTGCAGACTTTTTGGGAGTCGAATAAAATATTCGAAGCAGACGTTCCTTTGAAAAACAGTGAAACGTAACATTTCACGGTTGATGACATTTGTTTTAGAATTGAAAAGTACTTCGTCACTTTCCCTTACCCCTATATGAATGGGAGACTACATTTGGGTCACACATTTTCTTTATCGAAATGCGAGGTAAGCGGAACTATCTTGTGATTGCGCGAAGTTTTCCATAGGGTACGAACGACTGAAGGGCAAGTTGGCTCTATGGCCGTTCGGTCTTCATTGCACCGGTACGCCTATCCTAGCATCTGCAGACAAATTGTCACGAGAATGCAAGGAGTTTGGTTGTCCACCTGTCTTCCCACACGAGGATTCGGGGCTTTCTGCTAGTATGGAGACAGTGGTACTAACCTCGCCCTTATGCTTAACATATAACCTAATAATTTAGACTCCTGCTCAAGGTAAAAGCAAAAAAAGTAAAGCTATTGCGAAGACTAGTGGCGCAAAGTTTCAGTGGCAAATAATGGAAAGCCTTGGAATGGATAACAATGAAATCGCTAAATTCAAAGACCCTGAATACTGGTTGAAATTTTTCCCTGCTTTAGCTGTTGATGACCTGCGTAAACTAGGTGTCAAGGTGGGTTTCATGTACTCCAGCCGTCTTTATTTTATCTCTGGTGCTGTTTTTATATTTAATAAACCTTATTCTTTATACTTCATGTATGTCAGTGGTATCCGTACTTACCAGCTATATCTATTTATCTGATCCTTCGTGATTGACAATGTTCTGTGGGCAAAGGTCACTAAATGCTGCTATTTCTTCAGGTAGTTTATCTGCCACTAGTTTACTTATGCTGTTCATGCATCTTCATTTCCAAACTATGATGATTGTTTTAATCCTTAACTGGGTCTATTAACCGAATTTAATGCAAATTCTCCGTCAGACTAGTAATACGCATACGATTTATCGACTCGTCTCTTTTCATTTCTTAGTCAGTTTCATATACTTGAGAACTATCCTACACGATGAATAGCCAGCATTTCGACCATAGCTTTTATGAGAGGAGAGTTCTTACATGTAATAAGCAATGCGTATTGAATTATTAGGGATTATGTGCCTAAAACTGGTCTGAAATCCCACACATTGGCTGTTTCAGTCACTGTCTTACATACTGAAGGCCAGTGTAATTAAATCATCATGTACATGTCAGTCTACATAGCTTGAACCCACACTTCCAGTGTGGGTGCCAAAAATATTACCCCATTGTCTAAATCAGAGTAGGTTTGAACATGCAGTTTAGTAGTTAAAAGCTGAACACACTCATAGTGTAATTGCTCCACTTACAGCCGACAATAGTTAACATAGGACTAGGCATTATTATATATCCCGACTGATCAGCCCTAATGGGTTGGTGTCTGACGAAATCTCTGCACGGATTCAAAAAGCTCGTTTGGCTTTTTCCAACTCACTTCACCTAAGGCGAAGGTGAGATATCCGTCCACAATTAAGAGGCGAGTATACTGCTCAGCAGTTCGTTCTGTTTTACTTTACGACTGCGAATTGTGTAGAGTAGAAGATACTCATAAGTTACTAATATTTGGAAACATGTCTTATAAATATTGCTCACATCCTCTGGGATCACCAGGTAAGTAGTAGTGAGGTTGGACGCAGGGTATTAGCCAATGATAGTAAATCAGTTGATGACGTTATGAATCCTCATCGACTGAGATGGTTGGGTCACGTATTACTCATGCCTAAACATCGATTACCACGAAGTGCAATGCTGACTAGTGTTGGTGATGGTTGGAATCAAGTTAGGGGAGGCCTAACCAAAACGTGGCATCAGTCCTTGAAGTCATTTACTTCTGGTCTGAGCTACGTTGATGGATGCAGATTATTCGGTTGGGGTCTGTGTGACCATCGTTACAAATGGTTGGAGACTTTTGGTGACACGGCTCAGAATCGATCACAATGGGGTATGTGTATACACTCTTTGTTTTCCCTTAAACCGTGAGATTAAAATTGCTTTATATCTTTCTTTCAACTAAATAATCCTTTCTTCCCCATATGCAATCTTTTTTTTATATATTACCACCATTGAATTAATTGCCTCTATGAATCCGGTGTTCATCTTGTGCTAAGAAGGCTTGGAAACTTGGACAGATGCACATATGTGCCTGGTCTTACGTTGTAGCTGACTGACTTGCCACACTTCATATAAAAGAAATCAGCTATCCAGAAGTAGGAATTAATTAGTTTTGAATCAGTGTGATGGTTGTGGGAACAGGAATACTTACTGTGGGCTATAATCGAACGGATGTGCTATTAGTTCAAGGAAATAAATCTAATGAGGTTTCTAACAACACTCGTTTATCAGGGTTCTGTTCGCAATCTGAAATATTCTTTGCTAGTACTGTTCTCAACGACACTATATTAAACACAGAAACGCTCCATATAATCATATAGAACTATAATACAGCGTGATTTTTAAGATAATACGTCTTCCTACTCATTCCTTTTTGAAGGACGCTTCGTTAATTGGTGTTTCTTGGTCCTTTATATCGCCTTAAGTCTGAATGTTGACGGCTACGCAACGACGGTAATAAGACAAGGTTATGATGTCTGTTGATTTTCTTACTCAGAAGGCCCTAATAAGATTAACAATAATATTTTATCTCAATAAGTTTAGTAGGCTACACTGCAGAATACTAACTCGTGGTAAAATGATCTCTTGAATTTTTCTAATGTTAGGTTGATTGGAGGAGATCCTTTATTACAACAGATGCTAATCCCTACTATGATTCATTTGTTCGTTGGCAGTTCCTGACTCTTAAGAAGCAAGGAAAAATTCAGTATGGTAAACGATACACCATATTCTCTGCTCGAGATAATCAGCCATGTATGGATCATGAGCGAACTGTTGGAGAGGTAAGGTACGGTATAACCCAACTTGTATTTAATTCAAGGGTGTCGTTCCACAAGAATATACGTTGATTAAGTTGAAAGTCATATCCGAATTTCCTTCGAAATTCAGGTGAGTACTGTTTCGGGCATTATTTTCTGAACAAATATTCCACTTGTCACTTATCTTCATCGTTAAAATAACTGAGCCATGCAACCACTGATTAGAATTATTGAGTCCGCCTCAACTTGATGTCTTCTTTCGAAATTGCCTAAACTAGTGGCTTCGTAGACTGACGCTGTTTTGATTGATTCAACTTCTTTCCAAAGCTACTCATGTGTCAGCTGACTTCTGGCAAGGCATGAGTAACTTATGTTCTAACCACGTTAGTCAATAAAGACGTCCACAGGCTAACAGATAGTTACTTTTTCACAAATTTCACGCTTTTCCAACATCTGTTGCTAAACGTAATCCCAACTAAAAGCAATTCAATATCATTGTAAACTCCTTGTAGAGTTTTTCAAATTTGATATGCCCCACATCTCGCAAAAGTTTTGACTATAAAGATAGTATTGTCACTTCAAAAGTGACGATGTTTTACACATATTTGAAAATAATGTAAAAATGAAATTTATTTACAGACTCATGTTAACGAGTGATACTTATCTATTATGTAAAAAAGATAATATAATGAACTAGACAACTTGGGTCAGTTGCATGTAGTTGTTCACGTAACTAAAAGTACTATTTATTGAACCAAGTATTTACGAAATTTGAGCTGCTTGAATGAGGATGATATCAGTTTCTAATATCTACAATTCATTTTTGAAGGAAGAAAGTTTACTGTTTATAACGTCACAATTTTGTATGCACTTCAGTCCCACTTGTGTAAAGTTAAACATTTAACGTTGATAGATTCCCAAAGTAAACATGGTGGTTACGAGCGCTTACGTTTTGCGGTGAATAAATTCGTCCTATTTCTGTCCTTAGTTGCGTAAACCAATTAAAAGAACCCATATTCCTTGTTGCGGCAACTCTACGTCCTGAAACGATGTTTGGCCAAACTAATTGTTGGGTACATCCAGATATAGATTATGTCGGAGTGAAAAGCACACAACAATCTTGTATACTAATTTGTACTCAACGCGCTGCTCAAAATATGGCGTATCAGGTTTGTCTTACGTACAATTTTGCCATTGAATGATTATTAAAGTGTAATATGATATTGGCAAGGCTACTGTGCTCATAATATTAGTATTTAATCCATTCTGCGTATTTGGTTGGGAATAAATGGTTTTTTTACTTGATAAAGCACTAGATACAAGTCATTTTCTTGATAAATGCAAACTAATTGGTTGTAGCAAAAACTCAAACTCTGTGTTGTGCTCGTAATTTCCCTTCAAATCAGTTGACTGAATACTGACTGAGTGTTTATTAAATGATACTCCATTTAGGAAATCAAACAGTAGTAGTTTTTGTTAATGGGGGAGGACCCACCATAGTTTCGTGTAAAACGCAACCAAATATTACGACAGGATCATCACTGGTTTGTGTATCGCTCCACGCTCGATCATATTCCCAACCGGAGGTTTGCGTGATCTTTAGCATCCTAGCTGAAAAGTCGCAAAAGCTGTTAGTCTTATCAATGTTATTATCTGATAGCCTCTTTTAATCCAATCATATCGTTGTCAAACAATGGGGGTATGAAAACCGTTGGGATGACATTCATATAGTATGCTCAAATCACCGTGTTCAGTGTCTATAGATCGAATTACCAATGTGCCTGAAAATGCATTGTTAAACGCCGGGATTACTTACACGATGTTATCACCAAATGCGAACAATCTTTTGGAGATATCGACTATTTAGCACAGCATGCTCCCACACAATTTAAACTCAGAGGAGTCAAGTTTCAAAACGTAGAGCAGAACTGCATTCATGGACGTGTGGTATAGCCAACGTTTTACTTCATAACTAATGTCGCGACGGCACAAAACATGGTCTAGATTACTATGAGGTTTTATAGTTTCCAGTTTCCATAAACTCATATCATCTGCTAAAACCTGAATGCAAGCGCGTTTTGGGAATTTCCAGCCGGTCACAAAAATGACTGAAGTACAGGTTCTTACCAGACTTGGAAGAATACTTTGCATTCTGAAAGTGTAATAAGCATGCCTTACTAACAGTGACTGATTTTCTACCAATTGAGTGGGATATGGATGGCTTGTGTATCATCGCACAGTAAGACATTATCATCCTCGGGCTGAAAATCAGAAACACTCCAAGCGACAGATTCACACCACCATCACTTGCCTTTCACGGAGCTGTTTCCAGAATGCCATTGGAGCTGAGGTTGAAAAGAGATGATGAAATTTCGCAAGAGTGCCTAACTCCACTGGTGAGGCTGGACAGTGGAGGGATGGTTTTAGTGTGTACGGAGGCTTCAAATTCTTTATCTTCTCAAGCATTTCACCAACAGTAAGTCTTACTCGATGTATTGAAGGCGGTTCTGATGTCGAAACGCAACAATTTTTTCACCTACAGGAGTTCGTGGGTGTTCAACCAATTGGCAAAGGTTAAACAACCAAAACCAACTTACTCTTTAAGAGCCACCTTTTTATGAGTTCTAGATAATTTGTAAGGTCCGAAGGATCCGGTCATTTAGATGTGATTGGAAAAAAATCGACTAAGATAAACCATTACTTTTAATTCGTTTAGTTAGTATCATCTAACTCCATTATGTTCTGTTTATAATTATCTCCATATGTTCTCAGTGTTTACCTCATTGCTTAACATTTCGTAGAGTTTGATTTTGGTGTTATGGGCTTTGAACCTTCAAACCAGTAATTGGAAGTTAGATGCTTTAACCGATGAGCTACCTTTCTTGCTGATGCGTTAATTTTAAACTTATTACACATTGTTTCGTTTTAGGAAAACCAGAATACTCTCGATTTCTATCTGCTTTTTTGTTCTAATTATGTATTCTACACCCCCATCTATTATTTTCTCGGTGACATGCCTGTCCAAATTATTTTCCACTTACATTATGCTTTAAAACTGATTTTTACGACCAGAGTTTCATTGATGTCCTAGCGTCTAATTCCTTGTTTGAAATGTCGAAATTTTCTGTTCCATTCAATAACCTGTTGTTATGCAACTTGATTTCAGGGTATTTTAGATCCTTCACACCCTGGGCACATCGATATAGTCGCAAATTTCAAGGTGCTGATCTTCTCGGATTAAAAGTCAAGGCTCCGTTATCCTCTTATGAATCTGGAGTTTTCGTTTTACCTATGATGTCGATTCGATCTTCTAAGGGTACCGGAATTGTGACTAGTGTTCCTAGCGATTCTCCAGATGACTGGGTCGCTTTGCAAGACTTAATTAAAAAGCCTGTAAGATTAACTTCATATTGTTTCACTTTCATTCGTTTTTGTTTTGTGATAGATGTTATAATTTCCCTTATTACAACTCAGCTACTCCTATCACTTAGTATTCTTGGAAATTAATTCACTCGACAAATCCCCGAATCAGAACGCAGTTGAAGAGGAACGAAATTATATTCCAAATAACAAGAGTAGATGGAAGTAGGAAGCACAATATGAAAAACGTTAGCTTATTTATAGTTTTTACGTAGGAAGATTCTCGAGTGTTCACTATCGCTAATTGGTTGTGAAATAGTCATTCAGTGTGCCCCAGCATAATCCTACGCGGAACGTGCTTTAATCCAATCTTGGCTACTTTTACATATTATATTGATGTATATACTATAACTGTGACGGCAGATTAGAGGACAGTGAATTATCGATCGGACCAAAGACGCGCAAACACGTAAGAACGGCCTAGGGTTCTGATTAGTCCCGCTTCCATGTCTAGCTCAGCCAGTTGAGTCTAGAACACAAGTCTCAGCCTTGGAGATATGAATCGTTATATTTCAAACACACTCTACTTATATACCAATCAAGCAGACCACATCGTACCACAAAATAGAAAATAACATTATACAATATTGACCAGTAGGAAAATGACACATGAAATAAATATTGACCAATAAGAAAATGACACCATCTCAAGTCCAAGGATAGTGTTAGACTTTACAGAATAATTTTTGGAATATTTTCCTGAATATCCCAACAGTATATAACAATGTATAATTTACTCTGAAGAGCTGATTTACATTAGGGCCCCCAAACGCCCTGGTATGGCCGAGAGCGGGGTGGGTCCGCCCTCCCTCTCGAAATACTCTCACACGGTCACGCGTATACAACCTCTGCCAGGGAAGTCCTACTCACTGCCTTCTCGTGGCGGGGGTGTTGTTTACGAAAATAAGAGGACGAAAAGCGAATGTCCGGCGTTTTAACCGGATTCCAAATCAATGGTGCACATGGGCTCCAGTATCCTGTGGGACAAATGGCGTATGAACCTATTTTCGGTCACCGGCTACCATGGGACTGCATCTCCTCACGATGCTCCACTGCCTTGTGGGTTGGACAATTAGGTCAAAGGCTCGGGGTGTGGCCCCCTAAGATAACCACCTGCTTCGGTTTGGGCACCCGGGCAGTATCATAGCCCACACACAATTAATGAACTGAACTGTCTATGATCATGGAAACTAATTCTCTTGCTTCGACGAACATTCAAATGATTCAAATATTATTATTGCTGTTATTATTGCTATTATTATTATTATTATTATTATTATTATTATTATTATTATTATTATTATTATTTGCTACGTCGTCATTCACCCTCTTTTATTCCTACTCTGTCTATACTTATTTTTTTCGACTTATACAGCAGCTCGTCTATGGTGGAAATTCGACTCTATCTAAACGTTCTCGAGTCACTGTCCGGTTGAAAATTGTATGTTACCACCGAATACGAGTACTGAAGCAGTTTTTCTGAAACCACGTGCACCATTCAAACTGGCTGCCTTCAACGTTCGCACATTTATGCAGGTCGGACAACAGATAGGGCTGGCTATGTCTTTGGAAAGTCTTAATATTGATGTTTGTTGTCTATCCGAGACCCGTATTCAAGACTCTGGCGAAGTACTACAAATTCGATCTCCATCTGTCGCTTCGAAAAGCTTGTTTTACGTGCGCTTATCCGGGGACCCTGTGGCATCTTCGTCTGGTCTTGCTGGCGTTGGTGTCGCACTAAGCGCTAGAGCTGAGGCAGCACTAGTCGATTGGATCCCCATTAACAGTCGGTTATGTGCTGTTAGATTAGAAAGTTCCATCAAAGTGAGAAGAAATCGGCGTGAGAAACGATGTCTTTTCGTCATCTCCGCCTATGCCCCGACAGATTGCAGCCCGGATGCAATCAAGGATGAGTTTTACCACCAGTTATCTGTTCTTCTCCAGAAAGTGCGTTCGACAGATATTGTAGTACTAGCCGGAGACTTGAATGCTCAGGTCGGGCGTCTAGGCACAGAAGAGAGTCGTTTAGGTGGCCGATGGGGACTCGTTGGTCGCAGGTCAGATAACGGGGACCGTCTACTGCAACTTTGCACAGACCACAACCTGTTTCTGGCTAGCACTAACTTTCGGCACAGTCATCGCCGATGTGCCACCTGGCGTCCTCCCTCTGCATCTCAAGCCTGGACTCAGATTGATCACATCGCGATCAGCTACCGCTGGCGTGGTTGTGTACAAGACTGCCGCTCCTTTTGGAGTACCTATCTGGACTCTGACCATGCCTTGGTCTGCGCCAATCTTGCCTTACTTTTCAGTGGACAACGAAGTGACCGCCATCAACGGATTGATGTTAGCAAGCTGGTTGCAACTTCTGTTGCAAGTAAGTATCGAACCGAGCTAGCCTCTAGGCTAGCTACCACTCCACCGAAAAGTATAGATGAGCATTGGTTGCAATTGCATGACGCCATGAAAATGGCGGGAACAGTCAGTTGTGGGTTTGCGAAACGTCCCGCTTTAAGCACTGGGTTTCTTCTGGTTCCTTACAACTCATTGAAGCCCGTCGGTCTACTCCGGGTGACCGTGAGTTTGACCATAAACGAAGGATGTTACGTAAGGAAATTGGGCAAAGCTTGCGTAAGGACCGAGAAGCCTGGTGGTCGATGCGTGCTAATGAGCTGGAAGCAGCAGCTGCATCTGGTAACTACCGGAAGCTCTTCCAGCTCATCCGAGCCACTGGCAGCAAGAAGTCTGGTGTGAGTGAAACAATCTGCGAGGATGATGGGATGCCAATCACTAACATCCATCGACGTCTTGGACGATGGGCAGAATTTTTCGAAGGGCAGTTCAACTGGCCTGCTGCTCCGGCAACATCGGTCAGACTGTCCTGCCCTCCATGGCCGGTGACGACTGATCCACCAAACGAGGAGGAAGTCCGCAAGGAACTCCAACTCTTGAAGCGTTACAAATCACCTGGCCCAGATGACTTACCTCCGGCTCTTTTTAAAGATGGTGGTGACTTTTTGACTAAGGAATTGACGACGTTGTTTACAAAGGTTTGGGAACTAGAGAGTGTACCAACGTCATGGAATGAGTCGATAGTTGTCCCTATCTTTAAAAAGGGTTCACGTCGTTCCTGTAACAACTATCGGGGGATAAGTCTACTTCCGATTGCGTCCAAGCTATTGGCTTCCGTCATACTTCGTAGGTTGTTCAAAACCCGAGAAAGATTGACTCGCGAGGAGCAGGCTGGGTTTCGTTCTGGTCGAGGATGTATTGATCATATCTTCACCCTCCGCCAAATGTTAGAACACCGCCATACTTTTCAAAGGCCAACAATCGTAGTGTTTCTTGACATCAGGGCTGCCTTCGATTCGTTGGACAGGACTGTTCTCTGGGATTGTCTATTGAAGAAGGGTGTGCCTGAGAAGTTTATTAACATCCTAAAAGCCCTATATAAAAACACCTCAGGCAGAGTGAGGGCATACAACCACCTCTCTCCATTGTTCCATTCGAGCAGTGGGGTTAGGCAGGGTTGCCCAATCTCACCATTCCTCTTCAACTTTGCCATCGATGACATTCTGGAAACAGCTCTGATGAATGTAAGTAATGGTGGTGTGGATCTGTTGCCTGGAGAAAGACTTCTCGACCTTGAGTATGCGGACGATATTGTCTTACTGTGCGATAATGCCCAAGGCATGCAATCCGCACTTAATCAGTTGGCAATCAGTGTCCGTAGGTATGGTATGTGCTTTGCACCTTCGAAGTGCAAAGTACTTCTACAAGACTGGCAGGATTCTAATCCTGTACTCACCCTGGATGGTGAGCAGATAGACGTAGTCGAGAAGTTCGTGTATCTGGGTAGCTGCATAAGTGCTGGTGGGGTGTGAGTGATGAGATCAATGCACGTATAGTGAAAGCCAGAGCGGCTTATGCCAATCTGGGCCACCTTTGGCGCCTTCGTGATGTTAGTCTGGCTGTAAAAGGTCGGATCTACAACGCGTCGGTGAGAGCAGTTTTGCTCTATGCTTGTGAAACCTGGCCTCTCCGAGTTGAGGACGTTAGACGACTCTCTGTGTTCGATCATCGCTGTCTCCGAAGGATTGCTGACATTCAGTGGCAACACCATGTCAGTAATGCAGAGGTTCGGCATCGTGTGTTCGGGCACAGAGATGATAATCAATTGGTGTCACCATCTTGAAACACCGACTTCGGTGGCTTGGACATGTTCTCCGAATGTCGTCCCAGAGAATTCCACGTCGTGCATTATTTGCCGACTCTGGGACTGGTTGGAAGAAGCGGAGAGGTGGTCAGTGCATGACATGGTGTCGTGGCATGAAAGAAAGCTGCAAAGGACTGGCTTGTGTTGGTCCTTCACGACTCCCTGGTTGGGGTCCGAGAGATGGTGCTACACAGTGGCTAGAGACGTTATCAGATATGGCTCAGAATAGAAGCCAGTGGCGATCCTGCTGTAACCTTCTTTTACTTTCTTCATAAAAGTGGTTGTTTCTTCCTTAACTGAAAGATTTGTTCTGATTGTACCTTTCCGTTCCCCCATTATGACTATGATTATTACTACACTCCCTTACACCAATCTCTTCATTATTGTTTATTATTATTATTATTATTATTATTATTATTATTATTATTATCTTTTTTTACGTTCCTCACTTTTTTCTTCTTAAATTCTCATTGTTTTGTGTGGCGCATATATATTTGGCGCACTCCTGTACCAATATATATGTGTTCAAATAAATAAATAAAGGTCATGAAACTTCAGAAATACAATTTTCTACTCATTGAGATATCACGAAAATATTTTTACTATTAAATTAATTACATATTAGGAATGCAGCTCCTTTTATGCTCTTAATTCATTTAGTAATTTTTATGGGGAAAAATTTTTTTGAATAATATTGCGGCCTATACGATCGAGGTGTAATTAGAGGAGAGCGGCTGTATGACTTTGTCTAAATATTGATTGCTTTACCCAAAATGTTTACATAGTACCAGCGACCTTCTACTAACCAATAATACGATAATGTGAAACAAAAACCGAGAACAATATTTCATGACTGTTGATCCATAGTAGAATACAATACAGCAAGTAGATAACGTCTAATTATAAAATTCAGATTTATAACTGATTCGTACAATAATATAGAGTAAAATTTTGGTCACACATCAACATAATTTAGAAATTACGATGTAAACATAACTACTCCGTAATTAAAATAAAACTGAGTAATAGGTCCGTAATACATTAACAGTAACTTAAGAAACGTATAGCACATAATAACAATTTATACATGTTGTGGATGCGGAAGAATAGAAAATTTCAAAATCCGGATATCAACTCCGGATCTTCAAAAAAAAGGGGAGGTGTTGTGGATGCGGAAGAATAGACCAATAATTATCATGTTAAGTCCAGTGGTGTCCTTGGACTTTAAATGTACATTCCCTATTGGCTATTATTTAATTCATTCGTTACATATTGCGTAAATGTTGTTTACTATTTTTATGGTACGATGTGGTATGCTTGATTGGTATATAAACAAAGTATGTTTGAAATATAATGATTCATATCTCCGAGGCTGTGACTTTTGTTCTCCACTCAACTGGGCTAGGACAGACAGCGGGGCAGGGCCAATCAGGGCACTAGGTCGTCCCTTACGTGTTTTCCGTGTCACTCTCACCGAATCGATCAATAAACGCTGCTTATCAAGACCTGCAGTCACATCAGTCATAACAATACATAGCGAAAAAGTTTACAGATGAAGGCATATAAAGATATAATAATTCAAGTATCTGGTAGCCATACGGTAGAAGTTTAAACAATAACATAAGGTAGAACAGTTCGGAAAGTTCAGCTCTGTTTAATATTTACCCCATTATATCAATAACTTATGAATAACATATCATTACTGTGTGTAGTTATGACTTAAGTTGTTACAAGCAAGTTAAACTACTCGATGTTCAATGAGATGCAGGTTTGAATCCCTCCGAAAGTCTTAGGAGAGTTATGACCTTGAATCAAGCTAATGAACTTTTACTTGGTTATTGTTATATACATTGCCATGGCTTTTCATTGAGGTTGTGTCATAAGTCGAGTAAAAAGACTACACATGAGTTAAATTGCTTTCAACAGTGTTCGTCGTTAGCCTGGAGATTTTGGAAATCAACTTGATTAGTCATCATTTATTCTGTGATTTAATGCTGATAAGCAGTTCCTTATTTTCTCAACTTTTACTTAATTATGGTTTTCAGGTTACCTCACTTTCTCGTAACTCACAGAAACAGGTGAAGTTTTACTGTTCAATCCCTTTTGAAATATTACTCCCTAAGCGTATTTTTATGTGTTAATGAGTAACTGACAATCCAACCTACCATATACTTAAGTGCATAAGCTTTATGCTTGAAGTAAATAAAATATCTGCCTGTTTATTTATATAAGATGACATTGTTGTACATTTCGGTTGTAACAGCAGGCGTAATCAATGGACGTGGTAATCAATTACTGCGGTTGTTTTTTCATAATCACAGTTGTCAAACTTGATTCTAGGTCACTGACCCAATAATTATATAACTACTTACGTCTCCATATTTTCTTTCTGATATGGGTTTATTAAAATTTTGATAGAATTCTGCGTATAGTTGTTGAGGGTAGTTTCACGATTTTCTGTGGTTTACGTTAGCACTCTTCTCCAGTGGAATTTTACAAGCAAGTTAGTTTTTACAACAAGAATTTCCGGTTTTGGTGAAACATTTGTCGGCGTCATTTTTCTGATAGGATTAACAGTAAGAACAAACCATTACCTCACCACTTTATTACGTTAATTTTAGATTTCTAATAAATTGAGCCATATTGTTCTTGTTCAATTGTTTTCATTTTTAATTCGCAGGCATTCCGGACGAAATACAATCTTCTTGATTCGATGGTCATACCATTCGAACCGGTTTGTAATTTATACGGAAATAATAACAGTTATAATATGATTTCAATTTTCAGATACCCATAATTGAGACACCGGGTTTAGGTAGTTTACCAGCTGTCACAATAGTAGATCAGTTAAAGATTCAAAGTCAAAATGATCGAGATAAATTACAAGAGGCCAAAGAAAAAGTTTATCGTGTTGGTTTTTACGATGGGGTAGGCTATTCTTATTCAAATATACATATTCTTGTCCCTGGAATATGGTAATATATTAGATTATGTTGGTTGAAAAATATAAAGGTTTAAAGGTGAATTCAGTGAAAAAACTTATTCAAGACCAATTAGTTGAAACGGTGAGTGGGAAAGAATTTCTTTTTAGATTTATTAGTTAAATATGTGTGGTGAACTAATTATATCCCTGTTATTGCCAGTTAAAATTTCTGGGTTTTTTCTAACTTATTTTAGTTAGAAATTTAAATTTCTACTACTGAATTCCATTAGTAATAATTTAACAATTCAATGTGCATAATTATTTTTAAAAAACTAAAACTACAACTTTCACAATATTTCACACCATTAAATTGCTTTTGCACATTTCTAAACTGTGGGTCTTTACAATTTGTTCATCAGGAAAATATTAAGTGTGACTAATAAAATACTTATTATATCCTAACCAGCAAAATTTTTTTATTTCTAACATTTCGTAACTTAATTTAAGTCATTTCTTCAGATCAAATAAATAAACAACCGGATTTGCTTACTCACAAGGAGTGGTTTATACTAAGTTATGAGATATCAGAAATCCAAATTTATACTCATTTGAGATGTCACTAGTATGTTATTTTATTACTTACTTTCTACCTAATGCTGAATTTGTTGAGAATTACAACGTCAAACAGTGGTATTAATATCTACAAATTAAATATGACTTTTAAATCCTACATAGTGCATTAATTGTGCGTTTTACAGCCATAGTGTTTTACTCTAAATATCACACGTTCCGGTATTTTGTTATCCACTTTTTTATATCAAAAACTGTATATATTATGTATATAGCTGCAACTAAATTAGAATACTGAGTTGTCAATCTGTTGTACTAATTTCTTTCTTAGTTACTATATATGGAGTAAAATAAAAAAATAGTGTCGTGAACTGACTTGCCATTTACTGTGATTACTAAGTTTGGTAGTTCATCTGTAGTTATATAATTTTATTTATTGGGAGTGTCATGTTGTCCGGGATTGACAGCTTAATCGACTAAATCATTCAAGATCCCTCGGTTCAACTTCAGATTCCCATCATCTCATAATTACTTGTAGATTAACCAATGATATGTTTTTCAGTGAGCTTCATTAATTATAAGCCAACCTTGTGCACTCAAAAATTCTAAGTAAAAATGTCCGAGTTAGGATAAAGTGTACAAGTAAGAATATCGAAAGCAAACCTGCTAAACTCGGTTATTCCAGTTAGCTTAATTTCTATTATACCTTTCTTTAAAATATATTTCACTAACTTGCTTTACATAAACATTTCTTGAACTGTTACTTACGATTAAACCTAAGAGTCCGAAGAGTTGTTACTGTCTCATTCAAACGTTTAAACAGAACTCCCAAATTTGAAATTATTCTAAACAAGTATTCACTTCGGATAAAAGACTGAATTATTTAGATTTGATAGCATTCTGTCAAATTGTTTGCCATAAATATCGTAATGTAAGTTCTGTCAATTATACAGCGTTGTGCTTTTTTGCTTATAAATCCATTTGTATTAGAATGAAGCTATAATTTATTACGAGCCGGAAAATCTAGTCGTTACACGTGGTGGTGATGAAGCAGTGGTTGCTTTGTGTGATCAATGGTATCTAGATTACGGCTCAGAGGAATGGAAAACAGAAGTCCGTAAAGCAGTAGCTAACTTGTCAGCAACCGATGAGGTAATATTGTATCTCTAATGATATATTGTCATAAGATTAGTATTACGACGAGTTAATTTTTTGTAAAGTTTATGTTATGCGTTGTGTCTCACCTTTTTGACAGAAAGATTAACTCGGCATAATTAATTTATTTGAAAACTATGCACTGTATGCTTTTGTATCATCATCGGGGGTTTCACAATAGTGTGTCAATATGAAATCCACTATGATGATATCTAAGATTAACACACATCGTTGGATTGGGCCATCTTGTGGTCTAGTTAGAGGTATATCTAAGAAAGGAAGCTGGTCATTCTTCTTAACAAGTATGTGTGTGATCAGATTGTTTGAAATATATTGCGCTAATGTATCACCTAGTTCTGACAATCTTCATCTTATTATACTATTGAAATTGTATATGTGTTTCCTTCTGTATTAATGTGTGTGTATAGTAGGCCAAACCATGACGGCATGGCAATCCATTTTCAATGTATTCAAGAACGCGTTTTCCGTGTCCGTGACAACGTTCAAAAGTACAGAGCTTGTTCTTTGTACGTTATTTTTGTTTATAATTTCGAGGAAAGTTGATCAACCGAAAAATATTCACCTTTTATATCAGTTTTCAGTAATAACGAACCAATTATTATCATTATAAACATAGTCATTTAATTGGACGAAACGTGACAAAATAAAGTTTTGGGAAAAAAAATACAAAAATAACTGTGCGATCAATGATATTACCAGTTCTAGGAGTATTTATATGTTTATAATATTCAAAAAACTGATTTATTTTAAACTATCAATAAGTTTACGAATAGAAATGTGTATTACTTTCCCATACATTAGTTTTAGTGACCTTAGTTTACCCTCAAAATTCAAAATTATTTCTGATAGTAGTTTAGAAAATACGTTATATTTGGTAAAATTTCTATATAGTATTGACCTCTGTGTGTAATTAATGAATTCATTTATCTGTCACTTATTGGTAATACACATTGTTCCCTTTTTTTCATTGTAAATTTGTATAGAGTACTTCATAATTTTCATATTTTTTAAATTTCATTCTAATTAGTTTAGTTATAGTTCAATTGAATGTGCAAAAATGTTTGAATACATTAGAAACAAACAACAAATCGGTCAATATTTACTGTTTAAAATGTTTAGATTATATATTTTATTCATTTTGTATTTTAGTTTAGGGAGACTATATCAACATATATTTAAGATTTGGTCTCATAGGTTTAAGCTTATATCACTCGAAAAAGACTCTTATCAAAAACAAAAAGTAAGGTACTTTTTCCAGTGTGTAAAATTCGATCTACTTTGACAAACATATTTCTGTGTGTTTGTTCGTTGTAGTTGTAAATGTATTCACTCACAGTCTTATTGGTTAATTGCAAACGTGTGAATGTGTTGTGTTTTGAAATTTTTAAACTTGATTTTATGTTGGATTCATTCTTATTCTTTTTAATAATGGCATGCGGTTTCATTACTTTTTTATTTAGGTTAGACGCGGTCTTTATTCAACCGTTGACTGGTTACATGAACATGCTTGCTCTCGTACATATGGTTTGGGTACTCGTTTACCATGGGATGATAAATGGCTTATTGAATCTTTATCTGACTCTACAATATATATGGCATATTATACAATAGCTCATTTGTTACAGGGCGGGTCATTAGATGGTAGAAAACCTGGTCCTCTTAAAATTTGGTCAGTTGAATAGTTACTGCATTTTGTTTGTGTTTATTCATTGTTATTTCTCCCCAGAAATAATTTTAACCTTAGTTTAGGTGATATTTTGTTGGTATTCCTATCTTTTTTAATCTTTTGTTGGTTGGACTAACAAGTACACCCTCGTTTTGTTTACTTGATTTTCACACCTATTTCAGTTCTTGTGCTCTTGGCTTTTATAGAATGAGTTAAATGTAGCAAATGTTTTTGTTGAGATTATAAAGCACAAAACAAAAATACATAATTTTCGGGCGATAGTGCAAAATAAATATTTGGTAATTTTGTGTTATATGTGTAAAAGTCCGTTGGTTTAAGTAAAATAATTTAGCTTCGAAAATATGTGGCTACAGAATTTAGAATCTGAACTCCTATATAACCGGCAAAAATTCAAAATGGTTATTGCATTTTCTAATATATTTATTAATATTGCAAGTTAAATCATGATAAACAAAGTTACAGACAATCTAAGATACTGCTTAACTCAAACAACTTTGTTAAAATATGCTGAAATTTGCTGTTAAACTTGTAATATATATTAAGACAAAATAAAGTAATATTTAATAATTTGTCCATAAAACTGAATTTTTTCAAGATGACATTTTTGTGTATTCATTTCTCTGATGAAGATTTATATTTTTGAAAAGAAGAACAAAAGTGGACTCATGATTTTTTTCTGTTACTTCAAAAACATTCCCAAATTTTCAAAATTTTCTTTTATTTAGTTTGTAAATTTTTGTTACAAAATAATTTTTTTACTGATCAAACGAGTAACCATATAAAAAAGCATTTAAGATTAGTACAGAATAAGTTACTCTTTACATATGAACGCTGTTTGTTTGATGTTTAACTATAACTGAAATTTAGAATTGTACCGGTATTAATTTTTCAGTGAATAATAAATAGACAAAATTAAATGTTTTAATGATGCATTCTTATGTAAAATTAGTTTCCCATGATGCATTCAGTGCAACTAAATTCAACTTATGTACCATTTACGAATTCATCTATTCGACTTTAAGCTATGTTGCATAACAGCTGGATATTTGGTTGTTGAAACTGAAGTAGCTGAAATGCCTTTCAAACCCAGTGTACCCAATGTTTAAAGTCGATTATTTCAAACAGTAACAAAGTATTTGAACAGGAAGAAGTCGTTTCAGATTTTCGACAGGATTTTTTGTTTCTGTTTTCATAGCTCAAGTTTTTGTCGATATATATGTATACATGCTTACGTTACATTCCTTTAAATATGATTTGTATCTTTTTGTTAAGGCCAGAACACATGACACCAGAAGTGTGGGATTACATATTTTTAGGAATAGGAAATCCAGAGGATTTAGTTGAAACGAAAAGTCATTCCTCTCTAAGTGTACCAATTTTGAAGAGACTTCGTCAAGAATTTCTTTTCTGGTATCCAGTTGATTAAGAGTTAGCGGAAAGGATCTTATCTCCAATCATTTAACCTACTACTTATACAATCACATTGCTATATGGCCAAATGAACCAAATTTATGGCCTCGAAGTATACGTGCCAATGGCCATTTGTTATTGAACTCTAATAAGGTAATTGACTTTTTATACTTCGTAGTTTTTAAGGTTAGCAATGCCAGTTATACTGTCATTAGTTCAGGGTTTAACAATTATCTAATATTTGTGTATATATTAATCACATTAGTGAAATTTAATAACAAGAAAAGTACCAGTAAAATAGTATGAAATGTTAGGGTAGATAAATTCTGTCAAACATCAATAGCGTACAGATCTTATTTTTTTGTTTGACGCTTTAGAATTTGTCATTTAGTAGTTAAAGCTAAATGAGGCTGGAACACGTGTTACATATACCCAACCACCGACTGCCCCGACGTGCGATGTTTTCTGGTGTAGTAGTAGGTTGGAAGAAAGCTAGGGGCGGCCAGATCAAAACATGGCACAAGTCCATGAAGTCACTGACAATTGGACTGAGCCATGTTGGTAGGTGTAGACTACCTGGTTGGGATCCGCGAGATGATAGCAACCGATGGTTAGAGGCCCTGAATGACATGGCTCAAAATCGTTTGTAATGGCGCAGGTGCATCCACTCTTTGTGTTCTCCCAAATTCTAGTCTGAATTCTTCATGTTCTTTATTTTCTTTCCAAATTTATTTCACTGGATTATACTCCTTGAATAACATCTTCAAAGCCTAATCTTTCCGATTACTGCTTATACTCTTACCACATCTACTACTACGGGATTTGAATCGACCACTGCATCTCTGTGCTAATATGGTATGGCAACTCGAACTGATGTACGTACGTACGAAGTCCTACGTTGTTGCTGACTGACTAGTGCTAAATCACTCATTTTAACTGATTCATGTTTATTGGATTCTATTTGTTCACATATTCGTGTAAAACAGTTGGAGAATTACCTATTTTATGTTTAATTATATATATAACATTGACCACTGATCTTAATTTTGTTTCATACAGATGTCAAAATCAACTGGTAATTTTCTCACTTTAGCAGATGCTGTGGAAAAGTACTCAGCTGATGGTAAGTTATCTGGATTATTATTATTATTGTTGTTGTTGTTGAAAATTAACTATTTTCTCAACTTTAATAAAAATAAGTTGATTTAGTTGTGAGATGTGATATTTTAATTATACTTTTTGTATTTTTATCAAATAATTATCGAGTGTTTTTAATGTCGAGTTTTTTTAGATGGATAGTACAACTGAAAAGCTTTGTTATCGTTCTAAACAACGTAATCAGCGTCTACTTAAATAGTAATGATGAATTTGATTCCTTCATAAGTATTAAGTAAATTCATTGTCATAACCTTGTTTCAAGCTGGTTGTTTTGACAGACTGTATTATCCTCATGTGTCCTTGTTTTTCCATGGAGTATTTTGTTTAGTTGACTTAAAAGTTATGTTATATCATAAAATTGATGGTCAGTCAATGGTCGCTTATTATATTCTTAGTTTTTTTTCTTTTAAGAAAATGTACCTCACAATATATATAATTCAATGGGTCCTGAAGACAAACAATTGTTTTCGCTTATTTAAATAACCGACAAAAGATTTAGGAAAAAAACATAAGTTCTTCAACGGTAGTGTATCAACATATTTATAACATTTCTATTGTAAGAGTCAATATTCAGTAATTTGAACTGGTGTTTTAAATGCTACCGTATATTGGAAACAATACTTCCTTTGTTGAATAGTTAAATACGCATGTACTTTCTGTATTCCTTATAAAATACTAACAAATCGTATACATACGTAGAAAAACACAAAAATTCATCTACTTTTTATAAAATCTATTTACTGTTTATTCTGCACTTATTTTTTCTCTCTTCCCAATAAGGTGTTCGTCTTGCTTTGGCTGATGCTGGTGATTCGTTAGACGATGCTAATATAAAAGAAGAGATGGCTGAAGCTGGACTTTTACGTTTATATGGCCTTTTGGATTGGTTTAATATGACATTGGAGATTTTAAATGATTCAAGTTTACAACAAAAATCTGATTATCGAACAGGTGCTTATACAATGCATGCAGATTTTGTTTTTGAAAAGTACGCTTTATTTAGTTTTTAATGAGTCATGAATTCATTTTTAAATTTTTTAAAAAAGTCTGATTATTACAGTAGTTTTCATGTTCTTTTTCTTGAATTATAGTTCATTTAATCTTCAATTCTTAATAGCTCAATAGTTAGTATTATCTTTCTGATCATTCGAAACTAACAAGGATATCCCTAGTAACTGCGAGTGAACAGGGATTAGTCCAACACCGAGGCCTGCGGTTAATTGATCGTGAGGCAATGTGGTGTTAAGGTTGGCTTCAGGCATTACTGCTCTACCCCAAGTCCAGCAATGAGTACGGCTTCCATTCGAAATAGATTAGATGAATAACATTGGCTTTTTATTACTCATGATTGATCATATCTTTAACATACTTAAGTTTTACAAATTTACACTTATCATTTATAGTGACTAACTGACTTTTTTTTAGTGAACGGTACAATCGTCATTTATTTTTAAATTTTTATTCATAGTGAAATGAATAATACGATTGAATTGGCCGATAAATCATACGCTTCACATGAATACAGAGAAGTACTTAAAATTGTATTTTATGAACTTCAGGTAACTAAAGATACTTTTTACTAAAAATCACTTTTGCTTTTAATCATCATAGTATAAGCTTTGGTGAAATATGGTTTCTCAATCAAAAAGTCAATATAAATTATTTTGCGGTTTATATTTTTATGTTAACAAGATATAAATGTATCGTAAATCGTTACCGTAGCAACTTTCACAAATTTGGTATGCTTTAAATGAATAGTTTTTTAATCTTACACCAATCTGATTTCAGAATGTAATCTGTTCGCTTTCTAATTACAAGTTTAATGCTTTCTAATTTATATATGACCAGCTCAAATACTATGGATATCTAATGTATTGAATTTTTATTACTTGTATTCCAACTTAATAGTATAAGGTCAACTTGGTCATCAAATTTATTGTTAATGTCAGCCAACTTGCAATAGATACTTATCTTAATTAGCTATTTGGCTTTCGAACAGTGACTGATTGTTATTAAGTACAATATTTAGTCGGTTTTAAAAACTTTAACTACAGTTGAATATCATGATTCATATTTCTGTGAACAGTATCTAAGTCATCTTACTACTCGCTTAGGCAAAGAATATTCTCTTAAACATCAGCTTATGTGGTAACAATCAGAACTTAAAGTGCTTACGTTCTGTCAATATATGAATTTTTATTCACTTTCCTTTAACCGTCATATTACTTTTTAATTCATTTCACAGTATCATTTTATTCTCGCATATTTATACAGGCACATCGTGACCGTTATCGTGAAGTTTGTCAAGGCAGTGTACATACTAATCTAATTCGTCGTTATATGAATATTCAGTTACTACTACTTAGTCCAATTTGTTCACATGTTTGTGAACACATATGGATTAATTTGTTAAACAACAAGACATCTATCTTTTGTGAAAAGTGGCCCGAGCTTAGTTGTCCAGTAGATCGAATACTTTTGTTACAAGGTAAAAATCACTTATTGAATGTAGTTTGATTTGTTAATTCCGTTCATGTTTACTAATCGTGCTTTTAAAATGTGGTTAGTACTTTGAGAATAACTGCGTCATCATTAACTAATAGTTGACATAGACATAACTTGTTTGATATATTTCTTAAGTCAGAGTGCGTATTTCACCCTCAAAGATTGTTAGAAGATTTAAACACGAGTGTCCAACCTAGGTTTTGGGCTAAATACCACTCTCCTAACTTAAAGTCCTCTACATCTTGAGAAACTGACATTCTTCTTTGGAACTCGAATCCTTTTTTACTCAGTTATCTATTCAGAGACGTTACCACTGACTTGTTCGGTTCATGACCAATATTCTGTTGAGTTTCACTTAGTGATAACCAGTTTCACGTTCTGTATTCACTAATCCTGCTCAAATTCTATCAACATGGTTGCAATGTTGCTATTTGTCTGACTGAGCTAACATTTGCGTACACTTTTCGAACTCTAAGTAGCAGAAGTTTTAAGTCCCTGTTTCTCACTGTATCCGTCCATCAAAGTATAGTGCACGCAGTGTTAGATTATTTGGCCTAATGATCACATTACAACCTAATCGATAGCATTCAACCAGCGCTAATGACTAGAAATTACACTGGGTACTACTAATGGATCATTTGGTATTGAACTTTCATATAAAAATTTGGTCCAACGTTAAGTTTGTTTGGTTACTATTTCTCAAGAATAATTAAATTATTCGGTGGATGTTTTTCTATTCATTCTTGTTTTATTTTTTTCCTAATTAGGTCGTTACATAGATGATACAGCTCACACTTTTAGATTACAACTTAAACAATACAAATCATCAAAGTCTTTCAAAAGTAGTACATCTGTTGGATCCCATTCTGTTACTCAGTTTATTCCACCTTCGGATGCTGTTGTTTGGGTTGCTAAAGCTTATCCAGCATGGCAGGTATTTCTTGATCCCGATTCATCATGTTTTCTTAGTTTATTAAGTCGGATCATATGATACCGTTCATAGCCCTCAAATTTGTACAACTGCTTTTTCTCTTTTCAAACGACTGATTCTCATTCGTAATACATTTTTCTCTCCAAATATATGCTTGAAAGTAGAGTGAAATATATATTTACTGTAATCTTTTTCTATTTTGTTACTCACTATTACTAACTTTTTTAGGCACAAATTCTTGAAATTATGGCAGCTAATCTTTCTGACGATGGTAAAACGTTAGCAGATAATGCAACGTTAGCTCAACTTTTACGTCCTCATCTAAAGACTATGGGTAAAATGGCAAAACGTGCTATGCCATTTGTACAGTTAGTCCGGGAACGGTTTGTAATTCACGGTAAACGAGTTCTTCAACTTCAGTTGGAGGTAGATGAATGCGAAGTAATTAAAAAGAATTTATCCTATCTTATATCAACTTTAGGTTTACGACAACCTGATGGTTTAAAAGTAAGTATATTCTGACATGTTTTATGGTAAAATATCAATCTGTGCTGATGATTTTTCGATTATTTTCTGTTGTTTCTCTAAACAGTTTTGGAATACATCAAATAGATTTCACTTGAACACCTTGTCCTTCATAGTTTTTGTCTAGAAATTTCCCTTGTTTTTTATATAGTGATGATCCCATCAATTTAAGTATTTCATTTATGTTCCGGTGTAACACATGTGAACTTAAATACAATTATTTTTAATTATAGAATATTTTGATGTAATAAATTCAGCTGAACGGATTTTGATTAGTTGATATCTAGTTTTTTTGGTTACTCATTCTCAGGAATTTCATTTCAGTTAGTTCAGTAATAATAAACGAAAAAGTGCATACATTTAGGTCCTTTCATTTCAAACAAAAGCTTTTAATGCAATACGTCAAACCAAATTATCAAAATTAATTATACAACAACTATTAATAATAATATCAGTGGATAATTTCAGATCAACTGATCAAGTCACTTTCAGCCGGAAAATCGTTTCACACCTTGTACCACTTGGATATTTCATAATTTTGACTTAATAATACTGCGTTAATGCTTTCATAGTTGTTTAGGTTTTGCATTATCTCGAAAACACGTGAAAAGAAAGTGGCTTCAAAGCTTTTATGTTTAAAGTAAATAATTAACCATTAAAGTGAATGAACAAAGATTGCAAACACATTAGCAATACCGTTTTTATCGTGGATGGTGTTGGCTGTGTTAACAACCGAACTTAAGTAGATATTCAAAAGGGAAACAAGTGAGATGAGAAGGATATTCTTTTGCTTGGCTATGGTGGAGTTTTGTTCTCTGGGCAAGATGGTTTGTTCGTGAAGTTTTCATCGTTCTTCTGATCGACATCCTCACAAACTTCATCTAGAAGTGAAGAGTTCGAATCTCTCCACGTGAACACACAACTTGTCGTGTAGACCTCGATCTTGATTGGTTATTTTTGGCCTCTAACCTGTCATTGTTTACTTTTTTTGCCTGGTTATTTCCAACTCGACTTTACAAATCAGTCACTTTTCCATGAATATATACTTAATGTGATGTCTTCATCATAAATGAGTTACTTTTTGTAACCTCATGATTAAACATGTATTGTTTTACTTACTCTGGTATTACCCAGTTCCATTTTTCGTTTAAAAAACAACTTATCAAAACTATCGTTTCCATATTAACACTTGAAAGATTGACTAAGATTAAGAATTAGACATGAATTATCAAAAGAATACAGGCATAGGAGATTAGGTTATCTAACAGTTCTCTTGTTAATTACTGATAATTACTCGCTTGATATAACTATTGGCTTTGGGTTTACAACTTGAATTTAAAGCATATAATGATCCTAAACCTACTCACTGGATTCTAAAAGTGAATGGTTTTTGCCGGAGTAGCTTTAAAATACTAGTCAGTGATTAAAAATTTAATGGACTGATCACATTAATTCTGTCGGTATTGGATTCACAATATCTTTAAAATAAAAAAATTAACTAAGTCCTATCACGAAAAACGCATTATTATCTTTAATTTTTATTGGTGTATGGAATGGACGCTGATAAAACGCTCTTAGAGCATTCCTTAGGTTTGAATGCAATGTCAACACTTTCCAAAAGTGATTTGTAACAGTTTTCACCGTATGGGTATTCACTTAATAGTTTATTATTTTTCATTTTTGCGGCGTGAATGTACAGCCGTAACTGCTTCTTGATAGATAATTTACCATATTTTTATCTATGTCAACTGTCTCATCTCTTCATAAGCTAAAAAGCATCACATATCAATAAACATAAATTATTCGTAACATTCAATTATAGTGTATAAAAATGTTAATGTCGAACGTGTATATAAATTTAATTTAATCTTTGAATTATTATGGATTCCAATTATAGTGAGCCGAATCTTTCATCAAATTTTTCGTCAGTTGCCTTTTAAAATTTAAACCTGATAATTGTCACGGTCGATTACTATTATTTTTTAGATCAACTACTCATGTGATTCTAATGATAGTCGCATTGAAGAAAGTGTTTGTCCTTTAGAGCCTCTTATTTTGTTTTGTGAACCATCTACCTCAGCATCCATGACGTTTTTAAATCCGGATATTGGTTCAGGTCTCTTTACACTTAATGGTGTTACTATTTTTGACGGCGACACATATACCGATGTTGTCTCACGTGTAGTCAATCACTGTCGTTCACTTGCGTTAAACAGTAAAGGTAAAGTTTTTTGAATTTTATTATCTGAATTATTCAAATTCCTGACTTTTCGTAATTTGATTCAGTTATAATTTCAAAACCACATCAAGAGTATACATTGTGTATTAGTTATATGAAGAAGTACATAGTCAAACCTATTATGAAATAGCTGAGCTTAAAATCTTGGATATTGTATTCTTCACTATTGATAGCCCTCGAAAAGTTGTCACTTTCTCAACACACCAGTAAGGACATCAGATAAATGATCAAAAGCACATTCGTATGTTTTATACTCAGCTTATCTCATTATGTATTCTATATATTAAATCATGATGCACTACATATAAAAAATCATAGCGCACACACAGCTGGGTCATTTTCATCATAAAGCCAAGTAACCCATTTTTAGCTAATTAACTGTAATTCGTAAATAGTAAAAGGTATAGAAAGTTCTTGAGTCAAATTAAAGCTTTGAAGTCGGAGTATTAAGTATTAATACTGCTTCAAACTGACCAATAAATACTCATCAAAAATACACAGACTATTCTCCTTGTGGATAGCTCCTCAAGTTTTTTTTTCACAACTCTTTCCTAGTATATATATATATATATATATATATATATATATATATATATATATATATATATATATATATATAAAGTGATCTCATGTACAAAAATACTTATAATATTCCACGTAACTATCTCACGTATAAATCATTTCCCATCTAAAATTTATTAAACAATTGATTTGAATCTTGATTACTACTTATTCATTGCTCTGATTAGCTGTCTGTTAGCAGAGACCTAATATTTGTCCGCGTCAAACTATAGTTTGTCCTTGATTTTTAGATGCTGAAAAAATAAATAAACATAAATTCTTGATTTATGTTATATATAACCACCACTCCAGCAATTGTTGGAGTCAATTGGAATTTATTCAGCTGCTTGAACGAAGTGACTTATTCTGTGAATACAACTTTCTCTTATTTACTCCAGTCTAATTTCTGATTTGTGTTTTTCCTGTTTTCTCTTTTCTTAAAGACTTAAAAAACATAACATTGTACCGTTTTACCGATCCTACATGCGGACATTTACGCATTCCTCCTTACCCTATGGAAGCTCTACAAATTGTCCAGCCAACAGCTCGTTTTGTAGTCGATGCATCATCCATCATAACTCTGAAGATTGGTAGTGATTTTATTCCTATTGGCAAAAAGCTTGTGTACACAACTACCGTGTCGTCATGATCATCTTCTACTAGAATAAAGCTTTTTATTTTTGGGTTGCTTCTTATACAGTGTGTTTAGTTCATTCAGGGATTAAAAAATATCTATCACCGATTCGCGTTCATTATAATTTTTGTCTTGGCTTTATATACCGTTCTGTACAGTAATCAAAATAAGTGAACAGGTTTGTAAATTCATTCATTGCAGTTTGTGGATCTACTGACTGAATTCATAAGACTACTCAAGATTCCAAATTACGAAAGGTGAACAATTTCCAGCATATTCTTAATGGTAGTCGATTCTAGGTATGTACCTGATCAAACCTTTCAATAGGAGTCTTGTCAATTCCTTGTGAATTAATCCAAACTTTAGAATAAGAAATTGAAGACGTGGTTGTCTTGTAAAGTTGAGATGCAGTTTCTTGATAATAATTCTTGGTGCCGCTGCTAATTGTTAGTTACTAGGGTGATCACTTTAAAATAGTATGTCTTGCAGACTCAGCATTCTGCCAACCTTCATCTACTAGTGTTAGTAGGATAATCTGTTAGATCTTTCGTAATCTTATAATCTGCATACCGAAGAACTGGGTTTTATGCAGTCCTGTAATATCATATATACGAGTCTTAGTATGCTAAGTTCAGTTACCATGCTTTCTGGGTTCACCCATTGATAAGATGAGGGAAAAGCTCATCCGACCACCAGGGTTCACAGTCACTAACATTACTCATCGTTCATTCGGATTTCTAACTTTCAGTGGTAATACTTGACAGGCTGTATTTCGCGTTTTTGGGAATGTGACCACATTTTTACCATCTGTATTATCACCACAGTCCGTCAGGCAAGCACATTTCTGTCCAAACATGTGGAGGGCTCGTCTTGTGGTAGTAAACTTAATGAGATTGTAGAGTTGTTGAACTGACAATTCCTCAGTCCAACTATCCCAACCTCAGGAAAATAGTTGCCCGGTGGCAAGTCGTTGATCGACTAACATGAACAACGTCGGCTGATTAACCAACATTGTGGGGAGACATGATTTGGACATTAATGGTTACACCATGTTAATCTGCTGTCAACATTTTGTGCTTAAGATGTATTTTGAGAGCTTGACAGCCAGATCACTGGATCTGAGTGGGACATGTGAAGAAATCATCTGGTAATGTTGCCTCAACGTACTATTACCTAATTTAGGCAGTTACATCCTAATGAGTTGTAACTCGTCAATTGGCATAAATGAAAAGCATCGATTGTAGGTCAGAATACATGGCTTGTCCACATTATTGCCCATCCGACTCAACGGCATCTGTTGGAGTCATTTGAAGCCACTTATAAGGATGAACTGTAACAGTTATTTTACCTTCAAAAGCTCACTATGTGTAGGAGACACTGTTAGGTTCGTATTTGATTTAGTGACTTCTTTACATAATTGTCGCCTAAGGATTTATGCGGGTATTCGTTTCAAAATATATTTGTTACAACACAGTTTTCGTATACGGCAAAACAGTAAATTAACAAGAAATGGAGGGAAGCACTGAGAAATATTCTTGTGTAATAGTTGCAAAACGAAAACAGGCAGTGTAAAATTAGGCTATTCTTAGGAATAAGTGGATGATCAGAAACTACTGAGAAAGATGATACCAAATATAGACGTACAGACTTAAAGTTGTGTTCACAACAAGTCATCCTATCATGAGACTCACAAAGGTATGGATATTTATTTTATTAACGTAACAGAATGAGGTCCTGGGTCACAAGAAGCACCACCACAAGGAATGGATCACTGTTGATACACTGGATAAGATTCAAGAAAAAAAAAAAGAAGGTAGCAATCAATACCAGCCGAACAAGAGCAGAAAAAGCCAAGGCACAAGCTGAATACACGGAAATAAACAAACAAGTGAAGAGGAGCATCAGAACCGACAAACGTAAATATGTGGAAGATTTAGCAACGACGGCGGAAAAGGCTGCAAGAGAAGGAAACATGAGACAATTGTATGACACGACAAAGAAACTCTCTGGAAATCGCCGCAAACCAGAACGACCAGTGAAAAGCAAGGAAGGCAAGGTAATCACCAACATTGAAGAGCAACAAAACAGGTGGGTAGAACACTTCAAAGAACTCTTGAATCGACCAGCTCCACTGAACCCACCCAACATCGAAGCAGCACCCACGGACCTCCCAATCAATGTTGGCCCACCAACAATTGAAGAAATCAGCATGGCCATCAGACAAATCAAGAGTGGCAAAGCAGCAGGACCGGACAACATCCCAGCAGAGGCACTAAAAGCAGACGTAGCGGCAACTGCAAGGATACTCCACATTCTCTTCAATAAGATTTGGGATGAGGAACAAGTACCAACAGACTGGAAAGAAGGACTTCTGATCAAAATACCGAAGAAAGGCGATCTCAGCAACTGTGATAACTACAGGGGCATCACTCTTCTCTCAATACCGGGAAAAGTCTTCAACAGGGTATTGTTAAACAGGATGAAGGACTGCGTAGACGCCCAACTTCGTGACCAACAGGCAGGATTCCGTAAGGATAGATCGTGTACAGACCAAATCGCAACTCTACGGATCATTGTGGAACAATCAATTGAATGGAATTCATCACTCTACATCAACTTCATTGACTACGAAAAGGCATTTGATAGCGTGGACAGAACAACACTATGGAAACTTCTTCGACACTACGGCGTGCCTCAGAAGATAGTCAATATCATACAGAACTCATATGATGGATTACACTGCAAAATCGTGCATGGAGGACAGTTGACAAAGTCGTTCGAAGTGAAGACCGGTGTTAGGCAAGGTTGCTTACTCTCACCCTTTCTCTTTCTCCTGGTGATCGACTGGATCATGAAGACGTCAACGTCTGAAGGGAAGCGCGGGATACAATGGACATCTAAGATGCAGTTGGATGATCTAGACTTCGCAGACGATCTGGCCCTTCTATCCCAAACGCAACAACAGATGCAGGAGAAGACGAACAGTGTGGCAGCAGCCTCAGCAGCAATAGGTCTCAATATACACAAAGGGAAAAGCAGGATTCTCCGATACAACACAGAATGCACCAATCCAATCACAATTGACGGAGAAGATTTGGAAGATGTAAAAACCTTTACGTATTTGGGCAGCATCATTGATGAACAGGGTGGATCTGATGCAGATGTGAAGGCGCGGATCGGCAAAGCAAGAGCAGCATATTTACAACTGAGGAACATCTGGAACTCAAAGCAACTGTCAACCAACACCAAGGTCAGGATTTTCAATACAAATGTCAAGACAGTTCTACTGTATGGGGCAGAAACCTGGAGAACTACAAAAGCCATCATCCAGAAAATACAGGTGTTTATCAACAATTGTCTACGCAAAATACTTCAGATCCGTTGGCCGGACACTATTAGCAACAACGTACTGTGGGAGAGAACAAACCAGATCCCAGCGGAGGAAGAAATCAGGAAGAAGCGCTGGAAGTGGATAGGACACACATTGAGGAAAGCACCCAACTGCGTCACAAGACAAGCCCTCACATGGAATCCTGAAGGCCAAAGGAAAAGAGGAAGACCAAAGAACACATTACGCCGAGAAATGGAAATAGACATGAGAAAAATGAACAAGAATTGGATGGAACTAGAAAAGAAGGCCCAGGACAGAGTGGGTTGGAGAATGCTGGTCAGCGGCCTATGCTCCATTGGGAGTAACAGGCGTAAGTAAGTAAGTAAGTAACGTAACAGAAAAGAAACAACGTTTTAAAAGCTGTATCAATCTCAACTTTGTGCCCCGTTTCAATTATATGTTTCGCTAACATTAGTAACCTGATGAAGTAACAGTTAAGTTCCGTCATTCTGGCTTCAACTTCATTTGTAAGATGAAACCAAGATAATTCAGTTGTAAAAGGAAACTCTACAACAAATGGGTTCGGATTCCTATCCTCTGCTCAATTTAAGGGCTGACTAGGGACTTACTGTATACAATCTCACGTACTACCAATTAGTTTACAGACGTAAAGGAATTCGGACAATGAATAGCTCTGTGAATCTCCAACATTGATACTGACATTATTTGTCTGACTGAACAGACCACTAGGTAGAAGCGCTCGGTCAAACATCCACACCAGACCCTGCGCGGGTACGCTATATTGCGTAGCTCGTGTATCAACTAGTCAGCTTAGATTCCATACGCTACGATAGATGGAACTATGTTAAAAATATATATCACTGACTTCCGATTTGATTTTAGGTAAATAATTAATAGATTATTTCATGTGGCGACGTTAAAAATAACGTATCTGTAACGCTGTAAAATTATGGTCTACTTCGTTGTTAGTACTGCTCCAATAATAGACCTAATCCCAAAATTGTAGATTTGCCGTGATGTAACTGCCTAGTCTATGAGAACATACATAAGAGTCACATCATTGTCTACACTGATTCATCGTATCGTAACAATCACCAATATGTGATCAAGAACATCTTTTAGGCAGGAGACAGAAAAATATATATTTAGTGTGAATAAGAGTGAGCATTTACACGAGCATGACCACGACTGCAAGGCCGAGGCATGCCGTTCGCCAAATTTTAATTTATTCTCCATCACTGGATTTTTCTGCGCATTTAATAAATATCTTCCTAGTTGTCTCGTGTTAAGCTTTGGGGATTGTGTGGTTAGGGCCTAATTCCACTACAACCTCTTCAAATCTGCGTCTCAAACGGTTCAAAAGTGTTCTCTTTAACCTACGATCATGCAGAAACAAAAATATAGGTTGCTTGGGATTATTAGATTAATATAAATGGGATCAAAACGATTTGTCAATAAAATCTCATTCAAATGGTTGAAAACAAATCGTGGCTAACGAAAGATTAGGCATATTGAACGACCAGTAAAATATCTAAGGAAATGAGGAGATAAAACTTGACAGTACTCGGAATAGGCGGAACCCATTGATCTGACAATGGACAGCAAAGGATAGATTCGGAAGGGCTGCTACTAACTTCTTCTTCATATTATTCCGTCTGTAGCT